AGCGGCTATCTCTATTCTCTTGGCCTCCATTTTGATATAACTGCAAAAGAAGGTTAAATTCGTCATGGTACCATGTCTCTAATAAGCAGAATTTTCAATTGATATCGCCGAAACGTTTGGCCCAGACCTGTAAACCCCTCAAAATAAAGAAAAAGAAAGTGTAACAGAACTTTTGCAAAGCCCGGTAAGAATATACATGCACAATAGAACACAGTAGCAATTAAAATTCATAGCAACCAGCGTTCCGATGAGCCATGAGTCAAGTTTTCATGCATCACCGACCAAACTGAAAAGCCGCCTGCCAGGGCCGCCTGTCACAGGACCTCTCTCAGTCGGGCCGGTGTGTGGGTGGGCGGGCCTCCGGTAGAGGCAGCTGCCGCCAGAAGCGTGTGCCTCTGCAGCCCCGCCCAGCCAATCCCTTACACGGACAGAGCTGCGGCCCGAGTCTGGCCGCAGCCGCGGACCGCCGCCCGCAGCCTTTCCTGGTTCAGCTCGGAACTCGGGAGGCCCCCGGCCTTGGTCAGATAGTAGACCAAACACCACAGAGCAGTCGGGGCTCAGCCCATCAGCGTACCTCCTGAACCCAGAGTAGTTTTCCACGCGGCAATCCGACCGGCTACCTCTGAGAACCCATCGCCGGCGGCCCAGTCGTTATGCAGAGTTGCATTACGTCCCGCTGATGAGACCTGATAATCATGGCGCCGTCTTCAGAGGATTGCCGGAGCTCAGCTTTGCCTAGGATTATATCACGACCAGCTCCTCCCAGCACATCATACAACAATAGCTCGGTGGTAACTGCAAAGAAACACGAACCAGTCCCGGTGATACATTTCAATGTCACTCGGCCGAGAGGACGCCAAACCGTTCACTCCAGTACCCGTTCGGCGACGAAAGGCGACTTAATCTAGATCCCCGACTGACACTTGGGCATCCGCCCAAGTTGGCGTCAACTTCACCCATCAGTCGGCCACTGGTTCGACCAAAGACCACATCTGAAGACTGGCTTCGCGGAACTTTGGTGTGGCCTCGGCTCGGCGCGTGCTAGCTTCTGTCGCGCCACAGCCCTGGGAATCAATGGTGGGTTCAATCAGTCGGGCTGTTGATCAGAGCAGCCCTACTCTGGACCAAAGCCGGGCTCTTCCGGGTGGCAGTGACCATTTTTAACCGGCGCCGGCGGCCTCGGGCTGGCGGAGCCCCTCTGCAGACCCTGGCCGGCTGTTTGGGCTGCCTTGGAGCCGGCGAGGCCCGGCCACGGCCGCCCCAGCCGTGTAGCTGGCCGCCGCCCAGCCCGCCGTCGGCGCCGATGACTGGAGCGCCGCCGACCTGGCGCTGTCCGACCGGGGCCCACGTGGCCGACCCGCTGACGGGACGGCCAGGTGGGGCCGGTCGTCAGACGCGGCGCCGCTGTGCGGGCCTCAGGGGCGGGGTGAGCTCGGGTGGGGCGCAGCGCGTGCGTGACCGACAGGAGCCTCGTGACGCGCTGAATCACGGAGCTGAGTCACACCCGTTACCGGAGCGAGGAGTAAGCGTTACGGCACCCCCTCCCCCCCGGCCGATCGATGAACGAGCTTTGCAGGCTTCGAGGACAGGTTTTCTACAGGGCTGTGAAAGCTGCGGTCTGTCCGGTGCCACTCCCGTGAGGTGAGCTGTGGTCCGCACCGCTCCCTCAAACAACGTGTGCATTCCCAACAGCGTACAACAGAGGCAGCTGTGGTGTCGTAAATTTGCTAACAACAATGTCGGAGCGCACACCGGTTTGGGTTTTTGATGTCATAAATCCACGGAAGCCTCCAGAAGCAGCTGCCGTCTGACGGCTGAGTGACAGCGGCTCGGTCGGTGCGGGGCGGTGACAGCGGTGGCCGGGGAGTCCCTCAGGGAACAGGAGCAGGATGGACAGCAGCAGGATACCCACTGACGGGGTGGACCGGTCGGTCACCGACACAGGCGGACCTCCGATCGGCCGCACCTGTCATACGTAGACACAGCATGGAGGGTAGCAAATGGCACAGGGCCGTGACAGACCGCTTGTAGTGGATCGTTCTCTCATTCTTCGCAATCCAAACAGTCGTCATCAGCTCTTGTCAATTTTTAACGAGCTGTTCAGCAAACACATTCAAAAGCGATAGTTGATTTGACGTCTCATCACCAAGTGGGAGCATCACTCCGGCAAAATAAATGTTTATCCAGTGCAGCTAATCTGATCTCGGCGATGAGGTCGGCTGCACCCCTGGCGGCGTCACAACTGGCGGGCGGGAATGCAGCGATCATCAACCATGACGCGCCACCGCCAGCTGACGAGGCCTATCAACACGCCGTCAATGGGATGTCCAAACACTGGCCTGTCTGCAGCTGTCGCGGGGCCCGGTCGGGGAGCACGGAACTCAGCCACCTATCTGCCGCCACCCAGTCTCCCCTCCCCAGACAGCTCGTGGTCTGTCTACCGCTGATGTGTGGAAGCCGACACATGGCGCGGCAGTCTCCATACTAAAGAATCCCGGACAGTCCTGAGGTGTCGCCGGACCAACAGGGAAAGGTCTGCCGAGTCTGTCCCATCCCGTGCTCCACCGCGAGTCCCTGGGGGCTTCAGGAGGCGGCGGCGCGCGGAGAGGAGGCCCACCCCCGTTCCGGTCGCGGCGGCGGGCTGTTTGTCGCCCGCAGACCCCGCTGGCCTGGTTAGCCGCCCTCCGGAGCGGTTACGAAACGCACAGAGCCCGCCGGCGCCGCGAGAGAAGCAACGGTGCTCGCAGGTCCGGATAGACAGCCCGGCCCGAGGTCAGGGCTGCCGGGAGAAACTGTGCACCGCGAATAACAGCTCCGCGGCCCACCCCGCCGGTCGGCCTTCCTACGCAGAAATACGCAGACGAGAACGAAAACAGAGTGGAATGTTAACCTACAAATGAAGAGAAAGTCAACCGAATCGCTAGAGATATCAAAATAATGAATAAGGGTCACGAAAACATTTTAAAGTTTCGCAAGTATGAGAACCAAGCTGAGCTCCACAGTCGGAACCAAGCAGAGCGTATCTAGGCTTCTTAAAACGTAGTAAGGCAAATCGAAAGTGATGGGTTTAGCCTGACTGTGATACTCATCAGCTGTGTAACTGTACAGCGCCTCGCACAACTGTTCTTACAATGAAACGTCCGCTTTTCGGTAGTGCCTTTCTTGCTAGTCAGAATATCAAACCCACAATGACATTATCAATGTCAGGAATACATTGAAGGTGAGCTATGGCTAGTTTGAGCATTGTTATGAAGATGATGGTGTTAAAAAATGATCTTATGATCATGATACAATGAAATTAGAGTGAATCAAGACCAAAAAATATCATAAGATATTTTGTTATAATAAATTTTATATATTTAGGTCTTATTTCACTCTCATTTCATTGTATCAAGAGCATAAGGTCATTTCTAACACCATAATATTCAGGAATACTGAATGCATCCATCAGAAGAATATATCCCACATATTCGTACCATGTGACACACCTACTTGGCATGCCTGTACTGCCTGCCTGTATACTTGGCATGCCTGTACTAATTAATCAAATGACCTGGAACCACTAAAATGGGTAATGAAAAACAATAAGTGTTTAACTTAATATGATTGAATAGACCAAAGTAGCCAGCAGGGGATGCTGATAGCTTCATTCAAAATGGCATGTCTACCTATTGAGCAGCATGTTGCAATTGTTTGTGCATAAATCAATTCCAGTTTAGATACAAACCAGTAGGCAATAGAGGTCATAACTAGCAACATTGGTGAAGCAAATAGTGCAACCTATTTGCTATGTTCTTTGTTTTGTTTAAAGGTTGTCCGATAATTTAAACACAGCTTATAAAGAATCAAATATGTTGCACCAGATTGGATCTTTTTCTTTAAATAGCTCCATTGGAGTATTGGTAGTATTGAAAATCAGAGATTGGATTTTTTCTTTTGATAGCTCCGTTGGAGCGCTGATAAAATCAGATGCATTCAATACTTCTGCTGGTAGGTTCATACCTAAATATGGAATTGCTATAAAAAGAATTATCCAAATGCACCTGCTTGATAATTAAAACCCACAATGGCAGCATAGTCTTGGCAAAACAGAATGATCAAACAAACAACACACAGTAGTGCATTGCAAAAAAAAACAAGTTGGAGTGTCACTCATTGTTGACTTTGAAAAAAAAAACAGAAGCAAAATACTGCAAAGCAATTTACCTGAACTTAATGCATTTTACATAGATAGGTACCTACTTAAAAAGAAAAAATGCTTGCTTCCAGAATAATTTGTTAAATTTTCAAAGTGGGCTTTACTTTTCAAGGAATACTGAGAAAAGAATAATAATGATTAACAAAACAATATTATCAAAGATCACTCAAGTACTACAATTGGCTTGTATCCAATTCTAAAATCAAAATTGCTTGATGGAATTTTTAAACGATTCCTAATCCTGATCCATCATACAAATGCATGGTTTGAGACAAAACAAGAGATAACTGTGATTGTTGGTTGACACTGCTTTTCCATGGCATTATTCTTGTGCACAAATGATGACACATTAGGCAGACATATAAATGTACACATAAATGAGCCCAAAGGGAAATTCCTGTCTTGAATTGCGACACCGAAATAAGAAGACAATGGCTGATTATAGGCAAATAATTTGTGGCATATACCTTGACGCACAGAATAATGAATTAAACAGCATTTGTTAAATCAAAATAGAACATCAAAAAGTAAGCAAACACATAAAATAGGACAAAACATTTCTGTTTAGACCAATAAAGTGATTAAAGAAGTGTAAGCACGTATCATTTCCATTTTCTAAGGATACTAGGCTTCTTCACAAAAGATTAACTCAGAGTGGCCTACGAAGAAGAATACTACAACTGATAAATAAATAGCAAAATATATGTTAAGAAATGCGAGAAAATACATTAGCAATGCAAAATACGTAAATGGCGCAGATAAAGCATAAGTCTCGCAGGGCCCCTTCTAGAGGTTTACAAACCTTCATAGCGCTCCGCTTGCTCGGCTAGCTTCGCTTTATACACACTGTCCTCCCTCTCCATCTGGGAAACAATTAAAATGCCTTCTAAATACAATTATTTCTAAGTTTCAAGACAAAGTCGGACAACCAAACAAAAGTATTGACCCGCGATGCCGCAATCTACACAACTTGCGTAAAGGGCTACCAAATAGAGATGCCAGATTGGATCACGAAACCATGAATACGAAATTTCAATTCAACAATACGATTATTCAATTCAACGATTCAAGTATTTATACTGCGTAATAAACAACGTTATTTCAATTAACATGCAGTTGAATTTTACAAAACTGTGACTCAACGACTCGAAACATTTGCTAATTGACGTAAAATAGATTCAAGGTCATCCTCAAGAGAATTCCTTCACGATTCCCGAAATTCCTTCATTGCAACATCTGTGCCAAATTGGGACCACAGCACATGACAGTACCTATAAGTAAAATTATCTTGCATAAATTATAATGCATGACAATTGACAGCAACAGATTTGACAATACCAACTAAACGGCAGGCATCCGTCCTTGCCAGCTGCCTTCCTCAGTTTCAGCCGATCCGCAGTCCGCACCCTCTATTCGGAGCTGGCAGCTCCCGCCTCCCCGCCCCGCCTCAGGCATTGATTTATATAGGGAGGGTAGGTACCTATTCGCACCCTATTCGTATATCGTAACGGGCTATCACAATTCGAAACAGAAAAAAATCCTGCACTATAGTTTCGAATACGCTGAAGTTCGACCTAATCACATCGAGGAGGAAGGTTAAAAGTTTCTCCACTAATAGGTAGGTACCTACCTATGTCAACTTATAGGTAGGTACGTACCTACCCTCCCTGCCTGCACCGTTCTAATGCCTAGCGCATTTGACGTATTAATGGCATAGGCATGACAGCCCTGTTCACGACGGAACATTGGACTGTTTGAACCATTTGATCTGTTTAGTACCTGATAATTTTTAATAGTTGTTTACTAGAAGAGTTTCCACCTTTCGAAAGAATGTCGGTTGTTTAAATTCATGGCTCTCAAATTCAAATAGGTAGATATCCAATGTACCGTTGTGAAAAGGGTTGCGTCGTTTCGTTTATTATGAAATGGCTCGTCAAGTCGTCACCACTACCAATGAGATTATTGCGTTTCGGTTTACCTTCTTCCATGGAGGAGAGAATACTCCTTCCTCCATGCTTCTTCTATGACAACTGAATAAGTGACTCAGCGCCTCGAACCAATGTTGCCAATGCCTTTGGATAATTGCGCCGTCTACACCTTTAACCTATAAATCCTTGAATGGGTCACCTCTACAGGCACCCGTCTAATCCCGTCATCACGGCACCGTTTCACACAGGGAAAGCTGACTGACCTCCGCACAAACACATTAGGCCGTAAAATATGCGCAGTACGCACGCTGCACGTCGGCCCGGCCGGGCACAGCTGTCAGCACGGGCGGCGTGTAGCGGGCCGCCGCGCCGACCGGTCATCCGTCTCAGGTGCGCCGCCGGCCCTGCACGCACCGCGCACAATGACGGCAAACAGGAAGAGGAAGGGGCGAGGTGGCGAGACCGGCCGGCCGGCCGGCTGCGCAGCGCGGCCGCGCACTACGCCGCCGACTGGTGCAGGTCAGCGCGCAAACAGCGGCGGCGGGCGGCCGGCGGGCGCGACCTCTGAGTGGGTCACAGGTGCGTGCCGCGCCGCCGATCGCGACCGCCGCGCCGCCAATGCCGCTCGTTGTGCAACAGCCGGAGAGCGGAGTGGAAAACAGCCGGCCGAAACTGGCGCGCCGGGGCTCTGACCGGCCACTGGGTCCGTGTTGCAACGGAGAGTGACCTGACGAGCTCTGGGCTGCGCGGGCGGCGCGGCCGGCCGCACCCTTCCGCCGGCCGATCGGCAGACACGGTGCACCATGGCAAGTCCCGACGGGCGCCTCCTCTCTATCGGTCATCGCTCCGCCTCTGCAAACAGCTTATGGCCGGCTGCAGCCAGAGGATGCACGGCACCGACTCCGCGAAGAGAAACTTATATCGGCTCGCATGATCAAGCGGCTGTTCGATATGCACTGCCCCGCCCTCTCCGTGAAATTTATACATGGAGATAAAGCACTTGGTTGCACAGGCCACAGGTCACTTCAAGGGTACGTGTGGTGTTTTCATGTCGGGTGCTGCAGTCGCCTGCTGCGTAGCATCTACGTAAACAAAAAGTACTGAACGGAAGATTTACGGAACTAAAAAAGTTAGACGTGAAAAATGGACTAAAATGCGAGTACATGTCTCAAAACACGCCTCTGTCTTTGGCACAAATCATTATACCTAATCACAACCATGATTGTTCACCAGGTCATGTTAAGTCATGTCATCAGGTCACATCAATTCAAGTGACTTATAAAAAGTAAACGTTCGCCATACCTACACCGACCGAATTATTGATTCAACCCTCGCCGGACCTATTGGTTTTCTACATACGCGCTGGCCGAGGGGGGGGGGGGCGGGTACGACCCCCCCTCGCCGTTTCGCCCCCGGTGGAGCTAGCGCGTCGCGAAAAAAAAACGAGCGTGTGTGCCGGTACGAGATGCAGAGATTGATACCCGAATTTAAGGTCCTAGGTCTGACCGGTGACCTCTGAGGTCAGGTCAAGTGTCCCAAGGCAGGCGGTTCCGTTTTTGGTGAATAACTTCGCAAAAACGGCCGCAGAGCCGCTATTTTGGCAGCATCGTGTTCGTCTCGCTCAGGCCCGTCGAATGATATACTTTTTGTTTGGGTTAGGTCAACTTAGGGTGTTGACCTCGGGTCACGGTCAGTTCAGCGCCCCCAGGTCACGAAATTGATCTAAGGAGGTAATGTCGCATGTCATTCGATTCGGCAGGTCGTCCTGAGTCCATTGATGGCTTCCCGACTCGCTAGCTCAATTTGCTCGGGAGTTATTGACGACAAACTAATATGACTCTAATGACGTCATAAATGACGTCACGCAAGGTCAGCATTGCAAAAGTGACGCATCGGGCCTTGCAAGGAGTGCATGAAATCACGATTCTGCGTGCTTGAGGTAGTTGGAGGTCGTTCCCGGCGCCAGAATAGCAACTTTTATTTTTCCCCATTGACTTATACCTAATGGTGAGGTCACGAAAATGACCTGACCTCATATGACCTTTAGGAAAAATCCGAGATATTCAAGTTGTGATACTCCTAATGAGACTCGTAATGGATACTAGGTCCTGCAAGTTCAATTTCCCTGTGAAAGCTCCTCTGGCAGTGAGGGCGTTGCGAAGTTGCGACATTTGAAGACCGTGCAGAGGTGCACTTATGACGTCATAGGTCAGTAACCTGACCTGACCCGAAAATGCGGTTGGTATCAAAATATCTGGCTTGAATCAACAGCCCGGTATGCCAAGTGTCAGCTCTCTATCGCCGGCATGTTCGGAGTTATCGCGAAAAAACTAATGGGGGGGGGGGGGCGGCACTCACCTCGGCCGGCGAGGGTTCAAATTTTTAGCGATTAATAATGATGACAGTATATATGGAGGATGTCTTTTGATTCCTTTTAGTGAATTAAGGTATCAAGTTTACGACCTCTCTCGTTTTCATTTTAAGTTATGATAGGAGAAATTTGAATGAGTTACTCGCGGACGACAGTCATACGACAACTTAAACAAACTTGAACAACTTTTAGGGGGACATATCAAGTTAATAGCAACTACAAAATTTATAAATCACACCTATGGCCCATCATCTTACACCCATGAGGTCATCTTAGGTCATGAAATGTAACAAGAACTTCTTGGACCATAACTTTTGATACTGACATTCATATGAAATACCCTCGTGGTTGTGTTTCGCACATAGATACAAATAGATGGATAAGCAGCACAACCATTTCCGATCGGTCATATCATCTTGCTCTTTGGTCAAATTTTCACGTTAATCTTAAAGGCAATCGACATTCGACGCATCTTGACGAGCGAAACACGATAGCAGCTATAAAAGAAGCGTCATAGTTAGGTACATTGATTAAGCTCAAAGTTGCTAAAGAAAAATATTTTGGAAAAACGTCTATTATCACGGTGTTTCCGTTTTGAGCTCTTTTTGTAGACGGGCTGTGAGCCAAAATCCAGCCTAGTTTATGTGTAGGCATTAATCATATGCATATACATACTCGTATGCGTAGGAATTGCATTTTGATATAAATGTTTCCATCATATTACATGCAACCACTTACCTACAGCTGGGAACCAGCGCATGTCGGGGTTTAGCTTTTGAGACGCAAAAGCTTGGAAGTCAGCATCGGCAGGCACGCTAAAAACAAGTTGACTTACAGGTGTCCTACCGGCGGCTGTTATGGAAGCATTTTTTTTTTACAACTGGCCTGTCGTGCAGACTGGGTGCATACTTTCATGCGGCTGAATGCCCCTTCCGTCCCATTGTTCTGCACCATTGAGATTGTTCACGATTCCGAGGCTCGCCAGTAAAAAACATTGTCCAGCCATGCGCGGAAGTTCATCGGGGGATGTTTGAGGAAAGCTCTGCACATAGCCACACGCTCGGCGGGTCAGAACGCGCTCACGCCATTGGCGACGAATGGTGGGCAGACACTGTGGTAAGAGATTATTATAGTATGCATATACATCCCGTCATACGTTAGCACCTACAGGTCTGCGTTACAGGCTCTCGACCTGGGTTTGATCGCTATTCAGTGTTTATTCGCTCTGCGTTCCAGGACTGGACCAATCAGGGCACATGGAGCACTATTTGTGCACCAGTCACCACACAGATCAGTGGAGATGTGTGATCAAATATAACGCCATAACGGTTAGGAAAGCCGGGGTCAATACGGCAAGTGAACTCACGAATAGTAACTATAACACTAAAATTAGCGTGTTACGTTTATTTTACGTGTCGTGAGAAGTATGCGCATCTGGCTGACCTTATCCTCACTTCTGTATGGAAATATGAAATTGCCAAAATAAATTACTGTATTAAAAATCGAGATATTTCGAGCACAGCTCTTCGTCGGTCGATTGTAATTATTTACACACATAACAGGCACACAATGTCGAATTCGTCTCAAGTTCTTCAGTAATGTCGCAGTAAGAAATTTAAATACACAGATCCCGTGCAAATTGATCACCCTAGTTCCTACCTTAAAAATATATCTAAACATAATTCCCCAGTTAAACTAGCAG